CAGACCGAAACACAGCCATGCAAACACAGCTGCTTCACGGTAGAAACATGAATGGGACAGAGGTACCCAAGCAATCGACTTTTGTACAAAGTCTCCCTCTGTGTGTCTATAGTGAGGTAGGTTGAAATTATCACAGAAGCACTATCTATGTGGATGTAATAATAATGTATTAAATCGAAATATTCAATCAATTGATTGATTTTAGATTCGGACGTCAGCGAATTGTTTTACATTAAATTCTATTTAAATTATATTAAAAGAGACCGTACAATTAAGATGATTCGAACACACACACATATATATATATATATATATATATATATATATATATATATATATATATATATATATATATACACCATACCATATCCTACCCTTCAAACCGAAACACAGCTATGCAAACACAACTGCTTCACGATTGAAATACGAATGGGACAGAGGTACCCGAGCAATCGACTTTTGTACAAAGTCTCCCTCTGGTACATATATATACAGAGAGAGAGAAAGACAGAATGAGAGAGCAAAACCTTTTCAACCGACTTCAAAAAGACGGAGGTTCTCAGATCGGTTGTATTTTTTTTTATTTCATTACTTCATAACTCCGTCAGTTATAAACCGATTTGAAAAATACTTTTTTTTATCTGAAAGAGTTATACTCTTTACAGATTGGTCCCATAGAAATTTCTTTAATTTTTAAATCAAAATAACCAGTTCTTGTCACAATTGAAGACTTTTTTTTTATGTGGGACATGACTTTAACTGTGAGTTGAGTAATCATACATACGACCTGTCCTTACTCTATATATACTAGCAACACCAACGGTGCGTGTACAACCATGTTTCAAATGCAGAATCTATCAATTCCTATCGTTCTTTAAAAATCAAGTATACCTACTAAATAGATAAGCATATCGATGCGTAATAGCTATTATTACTTTAAATGCCTACGAAATAAATAGTAAATAGATAAAAATAAATAATTATGTAAGATAATATTATAGTTGTAAACCTGTTTACCAAGCAATAGTTTATAGCAATAGTTATATACATTTTTTCTTTTTTTTTTCTTTTTTATTATATAATCAATGTAAAGGCCTTGCATGAAGATAGACAAATAAATTAATTATCGATCTAGTTGCCATCAATTTTTTTTTAATAATATATCCATATAGCGTAAAGTTAGTACGTTCCACTTTTATACAATTTTGTGTTATTTTCCCATTATTACGTTGAATGTACTCATTATAATATTACTCGCATCACACATACACTCATAGTATATTTGGTCATTATCGAGATTCTGATGAGTTGAGAATTCAGTAAGTTGCAATTGTTCGAACAAAGGGTCCGTTACCGCATAAATAGGGCAGAGACAAAAATAGAAATGTAATATTTTTTTTTATCTAATTATTAAGCAGATTCTTAAATCATACATCGAATTGAAGAAACCTCTTATTTTGAGGCATTATTTTGAATAAACTAAATCCGTTTTTAATATAAGTAACGTACAAAAGGCGAACTTTAAACGAACAGTACAGTGTTGCTAGTTATTTCCCATATTTTTTTCTTAATTTTTTACTCTAACCAGGTATCTAAGTAATTTTTGTTTTGGAATAATATTCGTGACTTCAGATAATACTACCATGTGATAACTTTCTGTTTACCTATTAATAAGCATTAATAGTAAACAAGTACAGCTATATTCACTTAATTCAAATTAAGTTTTACTTTTAATAAATTAACTCCAAAACTTAAATTATTAAATATGAAACCCCCACAAAATTAAAAGATATTTTCATATTACTCGTATTTCTTGATTGCAGCTAATGTTAGTTGTAATGCAAAAAATTGTACAGAGGTATAAAATTCCATGAAAAGTAGGTATATAACTAAATTCAAAGATAAAATCATTTGCATTACTGAATGAAAACTGTTATATACAGCTTTTTTTCTATAATGAGAGAGAATTTTATATATTATTTACTAGTTTTAAATTTAAGTCAGGTATTTATTAGAATACAAGAGAAGCTAGCTATGCAAAAAATAACAATCTCTTATGGAATGTCCATTTACAAATGGCTTTAATTACTAATACTCATTTAAGTAGGTAACAGTATTAAATTGCAAGATATACTATATTTAATTAAAAAATATCAGTTAAATCAATTTATGTTTTGTATAATTAGATCCAGAATATGAAATTCGAATGTAAAGAAAATCACTAAAAAAATATACGTAAGCCGCCAAAAAAACAATTACAAAATACAACAAAATTCAAAGACATGAAGCTAATATATAACTCCCACAAACCGTTTTCCGGCTACCTACCGTAAAATTTGAAATAAACTCAATTAAAATAATTACGGATTCGTAAAGATTTAATCGTTACTCAACCAAGTTAATTTTATAACGAAGCTTGTACTGATAGAATTTCAATGAAGATATATGATAAAGAAAATCAATGCTCACCTAATAATAATTAGGTATACAGTAGGATATAAAAAAAGAGTTGAATATCTCTAGTTAGATACGAGCGATAAGAAATCACAATCAAGAATAAAATGGCAAAGCACTACAATAATTGAAATTTTAATAGTCTAAAATAACATACCATTCAATGTTAGGTATAAAATTTAAATAAAAACAATGATGTAATGATTGTAACTATTACTTGTATTTACATGCATCATAATAAAAAAAAATTAAGACCTGTTAAAAAAAAAGGTTATTAAACGTGGCAAAATTAGTTATTTTGGTATTAAGAATAAACTACTGAACCGATTTTGATGAAATAACTATGGGACTAATGTGCAAAATATATGCTTTGAGATAAAAAAAAAAGATTTTTCTAAAGCGGTTTATAAATGACAGATTAATAAAATAACAAAAAAAAAATACAACCGAACTAAGAACCTTCATTTTGAATTTGGTTAAAAAAAAACCTGTCCAAATATAGATAGTTGAAATCTTTTGTAATAGTTTTAATCATGACATCAAATGAGCGATAAGTATAAAAAATATAAAGCTATGCAAAATCATTGCTTTGCAATTTAGTTTGATATCAGTAATTATATTCATACAAATTTATCCACAAAATACATATTAAATTAATGTGGTTCATGCAGATTTTATGTATATAACAGCCATAAAAACTAGCATGAGACATTAATATAAAAAAAAATCAGTTTTAACTACTACTAACAAATATTAATTATCAAAAATACTAGTCATTAGATTTATGTATAGTTAAAAGTTTAAAAATTTATTTATGTTTAAAAGATAATATTTGTTTTTCATGTATATTATACAGAATATGATTCCAACTGGGTTATGAACAAGATTAATTTAATACTATTAAAAATTAGGTCACTCTTAGTAAATATATTCATAGATAAAGATAGAAATATAGAAAAAGAATGAATCTATAGTAATGATATAGAAGTAGACAAAACCTTGCCTGTGCTATGAAGTAAATATTAAGAAACCTTGCTTACTAAAAACAATAAAGGATCTACTCGTAGAGTTAATCGTAGAGCAGAGTTTTTACATGTAGAAAAATTATACATCTATATAAATTGTAGTGCAATTAAGAAATCAGGATATTACAAATAATTCTAGTAAGCAGATAATATTTTCACATAGTGACATAACAAACTTGACAAACCATGAGTTAGAAAAGACCTAGGTCCAACAGTGGGTTAATAGACTATTATAATGACGATGGTGATAATAACAATACAAAAATAACTTATTAACATAATGACGCTATTCATGATAAACAAAAGCTAGTCAGGACGTCAAACTGAAATAGTACAGTCAACAATAGGCATCACAGCAACGTCTTAAAGTATGGGTAAATGAACTGAACGTTATGTAAATAGTTTTAGCATCACAGTTGGCATAGACGAACATCTAAATCTGGTGTTAAAAAACGTGGGCCCAAATTGTATAATTCCAGGTCATCCAACTACAACGTACAAGTTAACGACAAAGCATTACGTATCTAATCTCATTAAATTAAAATATAAAGTTAATGACGAAATAATTGAGATGACGGTTTATAACGTCAATTCTAATTTGCAATATGCCATTCAATGCATAGGACAGGAAGAGAAGGAAACGTAGCGCGATGTAAATGAAGGGGCAGCGAGTAGCCGCGGCCGCGTGCAGAAGTACGCCAGCCGGGGTAGAACAAAGCAGCGGAGTGCGCGCTACAAGCGGTGCCCACGGTGTTGCTATACTCGTACGTGAGGCACTGAGGCGCTAATCGCTGTCCGCGGACTACCACACGGGGCCACTTTGACAGTTTCTATGCAAATGTTAATTCGTTGCGAGACCAGTTTTCGGCCAACGAAGCGGTTCCGGGCCTACTCTTGCGCACGATCTATACACGCCCATAAATTATTTTTCTAAACGTTTATGCCTATCTTGCAAAACTGGATTTCTCGTTTATTAGATTTTTTATGATTCTGCCCGAATAGTCGAGGACGTTTCGCGTCGTAACCATAGAAAAATGTTTGCCGTTGATTATTATCGTGCATTTTTCTATGTGTCGGAGTGAAAATAACAGAAAACCGGTTGGCAATGAACCCGCAAAAATTTGGTGATGCAACATAGTTGAACAAAAAATTGTAGATACGGCTGTCTCATAATCAAGTTCAATAGCCCCAAAGCGACAGCACGTGTATGCAAAAGTTCAGAGACAATACAGACCTGCGCAAAAATATCCCCTCGAGAGATCATTTTAAGGTGCTAGCTCGTTTACCCGTTAGCCCGCTTAAAATTTATCGTATACTGCAGGCTATCAAAACAAATTTATCAATGACATTGTATCAGAAAACTTATTTTAAAATTATCCAGATCGACTTCCAAATGAGGTCACGCGCTACGCATGTTTCCCGTAGCGATTTCCTGGTTGAGTAAAGTATAAATACCTAAAATGATGTAGAGAGATAATAATTCGCTTGTGCGTAACCTTATCAATTACAATACAATACTTTCCTCGATTCCATGTCGATAATTCCACAGTCCTTGTATCGTTAATAGAAAACCATTAGAGCTCAATGGAGCTGTTCACTATCATAGTTTGTTTGTATCACTGAGTGTCTGTTCACTGCGTTACACTTGAGGTACACTGTTAGTTTAGCATTAGCACCGTCGTCTGCTACGGCCGTGTTCACTTCCGCATAATTGCAGCGCGCGGTCGCGGCGCTCGCGTCGTTGCGGTGTGGCGCGCTTCGCTCCTAGCGGTTGGGAGCCTCGATAGCGAATGCGACCCGACCGCCGAAAAGTCTTCGTGCGGCTCGAATGCAGAAAATTCGGACGCGCCGAGTGGGGGACGCTCTACGACTATCCGAAACTTGCGCGCGTACGTGCAGCGCTTCGCTATGAAAAAATCCAAGGTTAACGCGCGCTGCCAAAAAAAGACGCACGCAAAATGAAAAAAAAAGACGGGTAGAGCAGCGCTCCTCGCGGGCCCTCGATGCAGCCGTCTGCACAGGCTGACACTGCCGCATTTGTCTAGTTTCTAGCATAGTACATACGGTTACAATTCGCGAATACATTTCTATACATTCCCATACACAAATTATATGTTTTTATCGTAGGTTATTGACATCATAGACTAATTACGTTGGTACCTGCCACGTTGAAGTCATTATAGTTGACCTTGGTCTTGAAACGGCTGTGGGGTATCAAATGTGATGAAATCGTGTATGTACTATTCGCATGTCAAGGAAATCAAAATAGCCACGCAATATAGCAAACGCATCATAGAATTATTATAACTATGATCTCATTTATAAGAGTTAACTATTAGTACTGGTGTGAATCACGATTTTATAATGGAAAAGCAAATAACTCTCACTGGGGCAAAGTTTGATAACAAAAAGTGTTCAATGTAGATAGTTAATCGCATTTCCGTACTATTTTACTATTTTGGTAATATTTTCTTATGTATCAGTATGCTCAATTATGTATGTCTGCTATATCACCTCATAGGTATCTGCAAATAAAAAGAGTAAACAAGCTGATAGCCCATGGAACGGAACAGTTGCTTATAGACATGGATAGCACAAATTTACTGTGGCGCCCACAGTATTCTCTATGTGTTTCCATTCCGAAAGACTAAGCTTAGTACCTTAGATAATAATAATAATTATTTATTTTATTGAAGATTATAATCCATATCGTGTTAGTACAAGACTTGGAAAACTACGTAAGTTACAAACAAATGTTCACTCAGTTCATATAATCTTTGCCCATCTTCAGTTAACACTGTTATATAGTTTTAGTAGCTTTTACCCGCGACTTTGTCCGTCTGACTGAGATTTGTTTACTGATCGGAATAAAAAGTAGCCTATATGCTTAGATTATACAGATAGAGCTTCGAGTCTTAAAAAATGAATCAACTTCTTGTCAGCTAATTGTTAAAAGTGTTCTATATACTTACGCATATAATGTATCTTGATATATTATTTAATAAATAAAATGATATTTACGCATTAAAAAGATGCAGAAATTATAAGATAAAATAAATATAGAAGTTATAAAGGAATCACTCATAACTATTTACCACGCAAAATTGTATGGAAAAGTTGGCCCGTTTTTCTCGAAGCATTTGTATGGAAACATTCTATCTATATAATCTAAGCCTATATGCTTCTCCACCTACCACATAGTACGTGTATCCAAGTTTCAGTGGGGGGAGTAGCATTGGGGGTATCATGGGCGAAAATATACTCCAATATGTCCATAGTACTGCTCATGTCTATAGGCGATGGTTACCACTTTCCATTAGGTGGGCCGTCATCTTGTTTGGCATTCTAAGAAAAAAGTTTCAGTAATTGGTTAAACAAAAAACTATTATAAGATAACAAACAGACAAACATACTTTCACATTTCATATTTATTTGTAATCGAGTAATAGTAATAGCATTTGAATGTTTCGATGTTAATATAATTGCTGTTCTTAAATTGTTGCATGCCCGATAGGGTATAACTGTTGATACTGATGTCAAATCCAAAGCAATGGTTACTGCTATATGTATGTACACAGTTAGCAATAAAATTCTATTCTATTCCATTCTATTCACATTTATAATATTATAAGGATGCCTTCATACTCTGTGTAATTTTATTCCCATAAACTGTACTAGAAAATTAGTATCTATGATATCTATTTTTGATAATACTATAGTTTTAGATAAAATGAAATATTTCTGTAATCTAAATTCTAACTAGATAAAACCTCACTATTTTTTTAGTTTCAAACTATTATGTTTCATTAGACTTTACGCGGAAAATAGATATGAGAATGTTTGGAATCGGTTCAGTAATTACTATAATAATCAATCAAAACCTTATATCTTTTTTATATACAGCTAAAAACGGCAAAGAAGCTGATAGCTCATCTAATGGTAACCGATGCCTATAAATACGAACAACACCACAGACATTTCTGGAATACCATGTGACACCTATAGTACACGTCAATCGTCATGCATTAGTATTCCTGAGCACTAGAAAATAGAATAAAAACTCTGTCTGTCCTACAAGCACGAATATACGCTACCGGAGTAGCAGCAAGAAATTATAGGTAAAATAAAGTCAGGTCAATTCGAGTGACGAATTCTCTAAGAAATAGCTACGATGGTTTCTAAGTGAGAAGCAGCCGCAAGATCCCATTACTAATTTAGTCCTTCCACCCGGATTAAGATTTTCTTAATAGAGCTGAGTAATATATAGCAGTAATTATATATGTATTTTAATTACAATATCTATGTACTGGTCTAATAACAAATATTTAAAGTCTGTTATAAAAACAAATATATTGGATAACAGACTTTTAATATTTAATATATGCGATACTGAAATGGGTGATGATTTTTCGCCATCAGTATCCTGAGAAACCCAATATATAAATATCGGATCGCTATGGCATAGGTAATATACCCATGCCTATTTCTTAACGGGTCATAATTGAATGGTAACCCCGCCCGTATACACTTACGGGGCACTACTAAGGGATGATAGGTAAGGATGAAAAGGTAGATCAGTTGGCCCATCATGAATAGTCAACAGTGAATTACTTACGAACCATTGTGAGTAATTCATATTTGTCATCAACTGTTCCAGCGAGAAATGCGTGGAGATCGAGCTGCCAGAGAGCATTGCCAGCAGTGGGGTTGCTACCCCTCATTACTAACAATCCCTCCCCCTTCACCCCTCCAGATAAGGTATTTTACCTCTATGACTCGTAAACTCACTGCCATATCATAGCCTTGATATCGAAACACAGCTATGCAAGCACAGTTGTTTGGCGGTATAAACAAGAATAGGACAAAGGTATCCAAATAGACGACTAAAAGTAATAATAATATATATAACCTTGGACATATAATGCAGCGCCATCTATTCCCAAACTAAACGTACGTACTATGTTTTTTTATTACCACTAAAGTGGCAAACAAGCATACGACCCACGTTATAGTAAGCGGTTACCGTAGCCTATGGACGCCTGCAATGCCAGGGGTATTAAGTGTGCGTTGCCGACCCTGAATAAATCTCTTTATCCCTTTTTTGAAGAACCACATGCTGTAGTCTCTTGAAAAGACCTCGACAGGGAGCTCATTCCATAACCTAAGCGTTCGTGAGAGGAAACATCTCGGAAACCGCGTTGTACGCGAACATTTAGGTTCTAAGGAATGAGAGTGACCACAATGGCACCTTGGGGGAAAGGGATTGTTAGCAATGGAGTTTGACAGCCCCATTGTTAGCAATTTGTCCTATTGGGGCGACCTCCACGTGGTTCCCCCTGGAAACCATTGTGAACAATTCTTGTTGAATTTGTCACGATGGACTAACTGACCTGCTTCATCCTCACCTATCATCCTTCACTGGTTCCCCGCCAGTGTATACCGTTAGCGCGGGTGGGGTTACCATTCCATTATCATCCATTAAAAACAAGACCACGATGGCACCAAACAACTGATACAAATATTTTTTTTTTAAATACATATATGTCAATTGTAAAAAAATACTCAGACAAATACAAACAACTCGAATTGTGCGAGGATTAATCTCATGACTATTGGAAAGTAAAGTAGTGAGTATGGAAATAAAAATAATATTTAAATTCTAACACTGAACTTAGGGATTTTTTTATAATACAGGGGCTCAAGAGCATACAGCTCACGTAATAGCAAGTGACTACCGCCATCCATGATCATCCACAACACCAGAGGCATTGCAGGTATACTGTCGACATTTTAAAAAGGAATATGCTCTTATCTTGAAGGTTATGATGTTGTATCGGTTTGGAGACAAGGCCATAGTTTAAGGTAGGGCAAAATAACTTTTTGGTAGAGCAGAAGCCATAATTAAGTGACTGAAAAAGCGAATCTGTCTAATTTTCTTGGTGCCTTTTATGTTAAAGTAGAACATTGGGCCTTTTAAGGTAAGGCATTACCCCTCAATGCCCCACCTAACTATGGTCATGTTCAGAAATACTGCTGCTTTAATAACACTTCTTGATAAACGAATTAGTATTTATTATAAAATAGTGTGTTAGGGTTGTCTTTATAACCAGATAGACATAACAAAATTATATCATCTTTGGATTATACATATGTATGTGGCATTACATCTCAATGTCCCATCTAGCTATGACCATATTCAGAAATACTGCTGCTTTAATAAAACTTCTTGAAAAACGAATTAGTATTTATTATAACATAGTATGTTAGGGCTGTCTTTATAACCAGATAGACATAACAAAATTATATCATCTTTGGATTATATATATATATATATATATATATATATGTGTGGCGTTACCCCTCAATGCCCTATCTAGCTATGGCCATGTTCAGAAATACTGCTGCTTTAATAAGACTTTTTGAAAAACGTATTAGTAATTATTATAACATAGTACTCGTATATTAGGGCTGTCTCTATAACCAGATAGACATAAGAAAATTATACCATCTTTAGATTATACATAACAATTTTATAGTCATTAAACTATAAAACTATAACATATATTCCAGTTTGAGAACCTAGTAATTGGTATGTGTTTCTGATACATACTTTAATAATGTTATTAAATAACCGTGACAACAGACGTCATACCGTTAAAGTTTATTATATTTATACCACTTGGTCGTATTGACTGTTCGTTGATTAAACAAATAATATTTCATTTAGTTGTTATAAAAAAAAATTGTTTCTGGGTGACGTTGTGGATAAAAAACAACAAAAATAACTATATAATGTTTGAATAAATAATAAAAATGTGCATAAACGAATTATTGATACGATCGTAAGACAATGAGGTCGATTCTAACGAACCATTTCTTTAAACTTATCACTGAAAGAAAATTTCCAATTTGATGTAACAGCGAAATTTC